TCGCCTTTCTAGCACCAACAGAAAACTGTAACACCCATGGTCGTCTCTAGTTTGAATAAAACGTTTGTACCTTTAGTTGTTAAATACAATCTGCGTAGTACTACAGAATCCTACGCTGGTATCCTGCACCTGGATTCGCTGGATCATCCACAGCAACCGCCTGCGTCGAGGATTTCATGCACGTTACCGTACAGTATCCACCTCCTGGCTCAGGAATATTATCCTGATTCCCTTTCGCGAAATACAGGGCAAAGAGCCTCGAAATTCACGCAGTTAAGCTGTCGCTTAGGACCAGCTAACCCATGGCAAATTGCTGTTCACAAGGAACCCTTCTTCACTTCAGTCTTCAAAGTTCTCATTTGAATATTTGCTACTGCCATCAAGATCTGCACTAGATACGGTTCCACACAGGCTCACACCGAATGCTTCATAACCAGCACCTTTTATGGTGTTTGACGAACGAGTATTTGGGCACCTTAACCGAGCGTTAGGAGCATCCCTCATCGCCAGTTCTGCCTACCAAAAATGGCCCACTTGGAGTACATATTAGCCCCAGCAGTTCAATGAAGTAACCACTGGATGTTACCCATCTAAAGTTTGAGAATAGGTCAAGGGCAACGCGCCCCCGAGGCCTCTAATCATTCGCTTTACCTGATAAAACTAATAGAACTCCAGCTATCCTGAGAAACTTAGGAAGAAACCAGCTACTAGACGTTCCATTAGTCTTTCGCCCCTATATGCGAGTTTGGCGAACGATTTGCACGTCAGTATCGCTGTCAGCCTCCATCAGGCTTTCGCCTGACTTCATTCTACTCAGGCATAGTTCATGATCTTTCGGGTCCTAACAGATGTGCTACAGCTCAAACCTCTCACAGAGTTCGTGGTTGGTCGTAGGCGCGAGAAATGCAAAAAGCAAGCATCTCCCTACTCTCACTTTCATTGTGCATACAGGGTTGCCGCCCGTATGCGGGCACATATGTTAGACTCCCTATATGTACTTTCCAAATACAATCCCCGCAGTAATATAGCGTTCTACGCTGTTATTCATGCACCTGGATTCGCTGAATCATCCACAGTACAGTCCGGCAGAGCTTAAAAAAATGTTCGCTGAAAAACGATATGCAGAAACAGCGATGGGTTCGTCTTCCCCGGAAACAGCATTTTATTCCCGTTCTGCAATCTGACTTGTCATGAGGCCAAAACAAAGTCTCGTCTGACTGATAGTTGGGTGCGCCCTTCCCTTTGGGCGGACCTCCCACAAAAAAAACAAGTTAAATGTAACGCTGCGTTTAACTTTCTAGCTACGGCAGCAACTGTAACGAGCCCAGACACCACGCAGATGCTGACCCCTGCCGCACGAAGAGTAGTGTCACCTGGCAGAACGCACGAAAACAATAAGCTCACAGACTATAAAAGGAACAATGCAATCATTACCAGATCATCCTCTGGTATGCCTTGGCTTAACAGCCCTCGCATAAGTTCCCTCTTAGTCTTCAGCCTGGTTTGGGCATTGTCCGCATTTTCCTTCTCTTGCTGCTTCACAGCTGCCGCCACTCCTTCGTTCGTCCAATTATCTGCAATTCGATTCAGCTTTCGTATATATGCGTAGTACGTAGTGGCATCGGATTCACCGAATATCTGCGCAGCTGCTTCTGCAAAAGCACCAGTACGAAATGGCTCTCCAGTGTATGGAATCTGGTGTTCGGCAGGGGCATGAGCGGGGTTGAAAACGCCGTCTCCTTCAAACGGTTGGAGAAATGCCGTGAAATGATATCGGGCGTTCAAGTTGGTGTCGTTATGTCTCTTCTCAATATCCAACAATAATTTGAGTTTCTTTGCTAAGGTTCCATTTACTCGTCTTTTACCACCCCGAGACAGCCCGAAGAATTCCAAGAGCTCAGAAGCTGTCCAGTCGTGTCCTGTCACTTCTTGAAAGTTTAGAGGAGCATCACTGTTATTATAATCCTCGCCGCCGCCAGAAACAAGAAAAGGATTCGCCACGTCTAATTTCTGATTCACAGTGTTGAACACTTCCAAATCCTTGAAGCGAAGAGCCACTGTGCGGCAAATGCTGCGTAATAGCTGCAAGTGTTGCGCGAAGTCCAGCCGTGCCTGCAGAGAAGAAGCAGGTGGAACTGTGCATTCTCGCATCTTGGCAACGTGGTCTTTGATGACCGTCAGAGGGTCTCCCAGGAGACTTTGACCATCCTCAAGCGACGGTGTGAAGTGTAGTTGAAAAGCTTGACTCACGGCCAATTCTGAGGGGGAATACGCTTCTATCTCCTCTGCTGCTTCATTGAAGTCGTCCATGTAATTCTGCATGCTCACATCGTCCAGTGGTAGCTGTGACGTATCGTCCAGTGACGGCTGTGACACATCGTCCANTTCTGCATGCTCACATCGTCCAGTGGTAGCTGTGACGTATCGTCCAGTGACGGCTGTGACACATCGTCCAGTGACGGCTGTGACACATCGTCCAGGGACGGCTGTGACACATCCTCTAGTCCCAACTTTGACGTCTTCAGGTACGATATTGACCTTCCTGACATAATGTAACGAGCCCCACACACCACTATCACTGCAACAGCAGCAATTACAGCCTTAATCACTCGGGACTTTTTCCCACAGTACTTCGTAGAAAGAGAACTTTCACCTGCCTTGTCAGCGATGTCACTGTTGTCTGCGTCATCTGGGGTGGGATCTGTCCCTTCCCCTGCCACCTCAAGTGGGTCCGAAGCTTTTGGCGGCGAGTCGCCTGCAATGCGCCGCAGAATCCCCATTATCTAATGCAAAACTGAATGGAGGCGCCCAAATCGTCTAGTCGCCTTAAAGCGGACCGGCATGTAAATGTCCCATGAAACAGCGCAGAGCGGGCGCTTAAAAGAGGACAGGAGATGGTTTTGGTTGGGAGGATGATTGTGACGGTTGAGTAAATTTGTGTTGAGATAAATTAATGGGGAAAAACTAAAGTAAGAATACTTTTCGTGTACCCGTTACACAGTGGCTACCAATCTCCAGGGTAGAATGCCTGTTGCAGGGCCAGGCACTACATTGGCGCCAGAGAACTGCGTTAGGAAGTGGAATGAAAGGACAAAAACGCATACAAACAATGAATGCGATATAAGAAGTGGAGGAGATGAGTGTCTGATGGTGGCTAGAGCCTGCAGGCTCAGCTGCGATTCTCACGTTTGGGAGTTGCATCGACCCTACGAGCGGCAACACAATGCGAACGCAGGCCGGCAAGGAGGAATCCCCAGTCTCTTTTTGTTACTGAAAAGAACTCCATGTCATCCTAGAAACAGGCGTGAGGTATTTCNGGAATCCCCAGTCTCTTTTTGTTACTGAAAAGAACTCCATGTCATCCTAGAAACAGGCGTGAGGTATTTCGGTGATGGGTTTCACATTTTGGACGTGTTATTTAAGGTGTTATGTGAAGTTTACTAGACTCAGCCGGTCGCAGAGGCTTCGTCACTTGCGCCGGCTTTAGCCACCTACCCTCCATGCTATATCTACACTATATCTACACAGTGGAGAATGCGTATCGGGCAACGCCGCGTGGGACATGCCACAAATTGATTAGGCGGATCGACTCGAAGGGCAAGTACACGAGTGAAGGCAGTTTCTTTAAGTTTCGGGGACCTACTAGCGTTTAGGTACCCTTTGAATTCCTTCACCAGTTGGTGCGGTATGTTTTTTGTGCAGCATGGCCCTAACATATCTAATGCTGCCGTCTGTTACCTGCCTCGCCTTTCTAGCACCAACAGAAAACTGTAACACCCATGGTCGTCTCTAGTTTGAATAAAACGTTTGTACATTTAGTTGTTAAATACAATCTGCGCAGTACTACAGAATCCTACGCTGGTATCCTGCACCTGGATTCGCTGGATCATCCACAGCACCCGCCTGCGTCGAGGATTTCATGCACGTTACCGTACAGTATCCACGTCCTGGCTCAGGAATATTATCCTGATTCCCTCTCGCGAAATACGGGGCAAAAAGCCCCCAAATTTCACGCAGTTAAGCTGTCACTTAGGACCGTCTAACCCATGTCCAACTGCTGTTCACATGGAACCCTTCTCCACTTCAGTCTTCAGTTCTCACTTGAATATTTGCTACTGCCACCAAGATCTGCACTAGATACGGTTCCACACAGGCTCACGCCTAATGCTTCGCTACGATCCCCACGTCTTCCTACTCATTACCGCGAAAAGTCGAGTGTCCAAAGACTTGCGAAAATGGCCTGGTATCGGTAACCCGCTGCAGCGCCATCCAATTTCAGGGGTGGTCCATTCGGCAGGTACGTTGTTACACACTTCTTAGCGGATTTCGACTTCCATGACCACCGTCCTGCTGTCAAAATGAACCAACACCNTTGTTACACACTTCTTAGCGGATTTCGACTTCCATGACCACCGTCCTGCTGTCAAAATGAACCAACACCTCTTATGGTGTTTGATGAACGAGTATTTGGGCACCTTAACCGAGCGTTAGGAGCATCCCTCATCGCCAGTTCTGCTTACCAAAATTGGTCCACTTGGAGTACATATTAGCCACACCAGTTCAATGAAGTAACCACTGGATGTTACCCATCTAAAGTTTGAGAATATGTCAAGGGCAACGCGCCCCCGAGGCCTCTAATCATTCGCTTTACCTGATAAGACTAATAGAACTTCAGCTATCCTGAGAGAAACTTCGGAAGAAACCAGCTACTAGACGTTCGATTAGTCTTTCGCCCCTATACGCAAGTTTGGTGAACGATTTGCACGTCAGTATCGCTGCCAGCCTCCATCAGGCTTCCGCCTGGCTTCACCCTACTCAGGCATAGTTCATCATCTTTCGGGTCCTAACAGATATGCTACAGCTCAAACTTCTCACAGAGTTCGTGGTTGGTCGTAGGTGAGAGAAATGCAAAAAGCAAGCTTCTCCCTACTCTCACTTTCATTGTGCATACAGGGTTGCCGCCCGTATACTGGCACATATGCTAGACTCCTTATATGTACTTTCCAAATACAATCCCAGCAGTAATATAGCGTTCTACGCTGTTATTCATGCACCTGGATTCGCTGGATTATCCACAGTACAGTCCGGTAGAGCCCAAAAAACGCTCGCTGAAAAACGATATGCAGACACAGCGGTGGGTTCGTCTTCCTCGGAAACAGCATTTTATTCCCGTTCTGCAATCTGACTGGTCATGAGGCCAAAACGAAATCTTGCCTAACTGATATTTAGGCGGAGATCCCACAAAAAAACGGGTTAAATGCAACACTGCGTTTAACTTTCTAGCTACAGCAGCAACTGTAACGAGCCCAGACACCACGGAGACGCGGACCCCTGCCGCACGAAAAATAGTGTCACCTGACAGAACGCACAAAAAAAATCAGCTCATACACTATAAAAGGAACAATGCAATCGTCACTAGATCATCCTCTGGTATGCCTTGGCTTTGCAGCTGTCGCATAAGTTCCCTCTTAGTCTTCAACCTGGTTTGAACACTGTCCGCATTTTCCTTCTCTTGCTGCTTCAGCGCTGCCTCCACTCCTTCGTTCGACCAATTATCTGCAATTCGGTTCAGCTTTCGTATGAATGAGTAATTCGTATTGGCATCGGATTCACGGAATACATGCGCAGCTGCTTCTGCAAGAGCTCCAGTACGAAATGGCTCTCCAGTGTATGGAATCTGGTGTTCGTCAGGGGCATGAGCGGGATCGAATGCGCCGTTTCCTTCAAACGGTTGGAGAAATGCCTTGAAATGATATCGGGCGTTCACGTTGGCGTTGTTATGTGTGTTCTCAATATCTAACGACCATGTGAATTTTTTAGCTAGGGCTTTATTTACTCGTCCTCTACCACCCCCAAAGAGCCCGAAGAATTCCAAGAAGTCAGAAGCTGCCCAGTCGTCTTCCTTCACTATTTCATGGTCTATAGGAGCATCAATGTCACTATAATCCTCGTCGCCAGAAGCTGCCCAGTCGTCTTCCTTCGCTATATCATTGTCTATAGGAGC